AGTATAATCTCCACTCCACACCCTCCGCTTTCTCCTGGTCAGGATTGAAGGAGAAGTGCTGGACAGCTGATGGAAGGTTAAAATTCAGCTGGCTGATGCATCAGTGCTGCCTGTTTTCCCTCAGGACAGAGGTTCTTAGGCTCGTTTGCAGCAGAATTAACTTCCTGGACTCCAAACAACATTTCTGTTGTCATCTTCGTGCTTCCCAGTCCTAATGACATCCTGGATGCTGGAATTCAGCTCTCCTCCCATCTCTCATTCCTCTTTTCTGTTGTTAATGCACGCCTTCATGTCCACTTGAGGAACTCCACCAATTCCCCAGGAAAACGTCGGGCTGTGCTAAAAACAGAGGGATGAGGGATTTCCCTCCCCCACCTCTTTCCCCACAGATGCATTTATCACTAGGGCAACTTCACTTGAGAGTTCACTACAAATCCAAGCTGATGGCTTAGATCCAGGCAGGGAGAAGTTTTATGGACTGAGCTAAGCGTGAATTACACTTTTTTTTTTCTTTTTTTCTTTCTTTCCCTTCACTCTGACCCTGGCATCAATGCAGTTACAATTGCAAAGCTTTTCATAATGCAGCTTTTTTCCTGCTGCTTGGAAGGCCTGGGAGGAACCTGGGTGGATTTGAAAGGTGCCCCTGGAAAAGGGCGTTGGAGGTGGTGGTGGTGGGACTAACCACTGGTTTTAGCATCAGGTATAAATCATTGTCTGTCTCAGGCAAGGCTCCCAAGATGTCCATGTTTATCCAGGGAGGGAGGTGCATTTTCTTCTCAGTCTGGCACTAAATGCAACCACTGGATTCATTCCAGGGAGTAAAAGCCATGGATTAACAGGAGTTCACTCCTGCACCCTCTTCTCCCCGTGGCCACGTTCAGGTGAGGCAGAGTTGGAAGCAGACAGGAAGGAAGGCAGGCAGGCAGGCAGGAAGGCAGGCAGGAAGGCAGGAAGGCAGGAAGGAAGGCAGGCAGGAAGGAAGGCAGGAAGGAAGGCAGGCAGGAAGGAAGTGTTGTGAATTCATGTTGTAAATATTGGCTTTTCACAATTATTCTGATAAATATATTATATGCTTTCACTATATTCTTTTCTCTCTTAGCAAGTTACAGGCTTAGATAGGAATTCTGAATGGTAAGGATATGTCTCATCTGGAGAAGGCAAGATAACTCCAACAGGCAAGACAATGGGAGGATCAAGCTGTGGAAAACAGGCTATTATCAGCAGCAGGAAATGGAGAGCAAACTGTTACCAAAAAGCCGGTACCAGGACGTTAGCAAGGGGGAAAGATATGAAGCCCATCTGCTCTCTGAGGAAGTATAAGGGGCCTGGACCCTTATCAACAAGTGACCATCTGCAGCAGAAAGGAAACCAAAAACTCCGAAATAATGCTGACCAGCTAGACCAGCAAAAATTATGCTGACCAACAGAAAATAAAATTGAAAAATAACATGATCCAAGAAGGTGGAACCAGGGAGGGGATATGCTTGAATATGCATTAACCTCTCGCAGCAAGGATGGGATAAAAAGGACACTCCTGAGATACCAGGTGTGTTCCTGGCAGTGCGCCAAGGCACCCGGCTGTATCTCTTTGCTTTACTTTATCTCTCTTATTGTCTTTATTAAACATTTTTAAAATTTTACAGGAGTGAACTTCGTTTTTCACAGAAGGAAGGCAGGAAGGCAGGAAGGCAGGAAGGAAGGCAGGCAGGAAGGCAGGCAGGAAGGCAGGAAGGAAGGCAGGAAGGAAGGAAGGCAGGAAGGCAGGAAGGCAGGAAGGCAGGAAGGCAGGCAGGAAGGCAGGAAGGCAGGAAGGCAGGCAGGAAGGCAGGCAGGAAGGCAGGAAGGCAGGAAGGAAGGAAGGAAGGCAGGAGGGAAGGCAGGAAGGAAGGCAGGAAGGAAGGAAGGCAGGCAGGAAGGCAGGAAGGAAGGCAGGAAGGAAGGCAGGAAGGAAGGCAGAAAGGAAGGCAGAAAGGAAGGCAGGAA